AACAGCATGTGTGTTACTGTTACATGAGAAACTATCTGTTCTGTAAGCCTTCACCTGAAGTACAATAAAATATTAAAAAAAAAAAAACGCATCTCTTAATGAGATTGATGTGGGTTTACTTCTTTATTTTTTAAATTGGACCATATGTGAGAAACAGTTCTTATTTCCCCTGGAATCCAGATTTCTGGGCTCCATGGAGTTGGGGCAACCCACCCAGGCCATTTCCCTGAAATCTTCTTTTGAACCTTGAGCCTTGAGAAAACTGATTTCTTAAAGTCCCCTATTTAAGTCAAACACTAACCTAGTAAGTAGCTTAGTAAGATCATGCTTGCCTTTGACACTGGGCTCTTTTGAAGAATTACCTATGTGCAGTGCCAAGAAACAAACTCCAGGGTCGGACTGGAAGCTGTGCTTTAGGGTAAACTGTTATTATAAAAACACTGTTCTGGCCCTCTTCCATGGCCAATGTCGATAACATGGGCTTTAAGGATTTCTGGAAGTTCTTTCGTCTTCAGAACACTTGTGACTCTCTAGTCAGAAGTGTTACTCAATTTGCAAATTGTATATTAAATAAACTTCAAATCCATTTATATTATTGGCTTAATGTTTTATATGGATGAATAGTTAATTGCTGGAATGAGACTGAGTTCAATGGAAGTGTGGGGTTTAAAAATACATATGTATATAAATGATTGTGCTCATTATTTATAGAATATAAATAATATAGATTATAGAAGATACTACGCATTGCTGTTATGTTAGTAACAGGATGAATAAAGAGCAAAGAAATAATAATTCTTAGCAAGTAGTAAATTCCCACAAGCTTAAAAAAAATTGATTTAAACTTTCTAGTAGTCTTTTGGCAAACTTAAAATGTTTCTCCTAATAATCAGAAAAAAATAGTTTTATTCAAAGATGTAATGCTTATTTGTGAAAAATAAACATGGAAGCTTTCAGCTTCTTAAAATCATGCAAATAAGTTGCAGGTTTTTATCTTGAGTAGGTTTCTGAAAGACTAATTATCTCAAAATGTCCCTTTATTTGGTGTACTGGAGATTTTCTTACACTCAGGGGGAATGCAACATAGTAGGATTAGGATGAGTGAAAAAAGATACTTTTCTTCTATAAAGAGGACGAATGGCAATTGTGAAAGAAAGTAAAAAGGAAAACTTGCAAAGTACTACCTTTACCACAGGCAGCTCAATTTTAGGAAGCAGTACATATTTAACTTGAGAAATCTGGAAACCAATTCTCTTAAAACTACTCATCTGCAAACCTGAAGTGAAACTCAAGGGGTAAATGTTGCTGGGAAATCAAATCCCACTTCTCTGATACTAAATGTGTTGCTTAATCCACATCAATTTATTACACTTGTTACACCAACTGAATGACATCAATTCAGTTCCAATTCAGCTGCACATGCAGTAGTTCCTCCTCTGACCCTAATCACCTGGAGCTAGGTCAAATCTCACCAAAGGCAGTCTTCCAGACTGCCATGTCGGCCCAAGATTTCAAACGCCACCCACAAGTTTGGGAATCTCCACAACACCCTCGCTTCTGCCTGCTAACTACAAATTCAGGGGTTCCCTCTACCCCCTTGAGATACCAGTTGTAAGCTCGAAGGTTCCCAGGGTTCCTCTACTTTCTACCTGCTGACTCCCACTACCTTCCCGGGTTTCGTATTTCACTAAAATGACTCAACTCACAGAAAGTGCTATACTTACGCTTACAGTTTTATTATAGTAACAAGAATACAAATGAAGAGGCACATAGGGCAAGGTCTGAGAGGGTTCTCAACATAGAGCTTCCATGTCCCTAAAGGGAACATGCTACCCTCCTACGTGCATCAATGTCTCACCAACCAGGAAGCCCATGGAGCTACTGTGTTCAGAGCCTTTATGGGGCCTCATTACATAGGCGTGATTGATTGAATCAGCTCCCCCCTCCCCAGAAGTTGGGCTAGTATCATTTGGTGAGTCTTTTTGGCCTGGCCAGCCCCCACCCAAGAGTCACCTCCTTAGCATAAATCCTCAGTGTAGTCCAGAGGCCTCATCAAAGATACCTCAATCATTGGGGAAATTCCAAGGTTTTAGAGGTTTTCTCTTTGGAACCAAGAACAAAGGCCAAATTCTTTGGGTAAAGTTAATGATAAACCTCACATACATATATAATCCTATGTCAAATCAATAGAATTACTTGTATTAGGTGGTCATATTTTAAAAAAAAAGAAATAAACATACTGAAATAGACTTTGTTTTGGGAAAAGAAATAGGAAATCAATTTACTTCTAGGACTTACCAAAAAATTCTAATAATCCTATCTTTATTTCACCTAAGCTGAGACTCAACAATAACAACACACCCATACCAAGGTTAATCGTAAACTCACTATACTGAACACTTGTTTCTCACTCCAAGATTCCCAATCATTGTTGTCCGGCCTACCTCTTCAACACTGCTGTACACTCAGTCAGAAGCAGCAATGATCACATTAGTATAAAGACTCAAACTTCTGTTACAATCCTTTCAATAACAATCAAGATATACAGTATCTTTCTTTTTTAGTGTAAAAGATATCTTTTATCTCAATTGTTATTGAAATGGACATTCCTTATAAAAACTATGTACTTTGTGAAAATATAAATAACAAAACATCATCATCAAAGAAAACAAAAATCCTCACAACTGGGCCAATAAGAAACATCATGATAAACGGAGAAAAGATTGAAGTTGTCAAGGATTTCATCTTACTTGGATCCACAATCAACACCCATGGGAGCAGCAGTCAAGAAATCAGATGAGGTACTGCGATGGGTAAATGTGCTGCAAAGGACCTCTTTAAAGTTGAAAAACAAGGATGTCACTAAGATGCACCTGACCCAAGCCATGGTGTTTTCAATAGTCTCATATGCATGTGAAAGCTGGAGAAAGAATAAGGAAGACCGAGTAAGAACTGATGCCTTTGAATTATGGTGTTGGTGAAGAATACTGAATATACCATAGACTGCCAGAAGAACGAACAAATTGTCTTGGAAGAAGTACAGCCAGAATGCTCCTTAGAAGCAAGGACTGCAAGACTTCGTCTCACATACTTTGGACTTGTTATCAGAAGGGACCAGTTCCTGGAGAAGGACATCATTCTTGGTAAAGCAGAGGGTCAGCAAAAAAAAGGAAGACCCTCAAAGAGATGGATTGACACAGTGGTTGCAACAATGGGCTCAAGTATAACGATTGTTGAGGATGGTGCAGGATTGGGTAGTGTTTAGTTCTGTGGTACATAGGGTCGCTATGAGTCGGAATCTAACAACACAGCTTATTGACAGTAATTACATTAATCGACTATGCAACTCTACCCTTAATCAATGTGATTTTTCCATCACCGTAAACCAAAAGTTTCCTCTCCCCCTCCCTTCCGCCCCTGGTGACCACAAATAAACTTTGGTCTCTATATGTTCTTGTCTTTTATATAAATGAGGTTATTCAGTATTTGTCCTTATGTGTATATGTATTATTAATCTTCACAGCAATCCTACAAAGTAGAGTTCACAACCCGTTTTATTGATGAGTAAATAAAATTCAAATTAATGAACACGTGTAAGGCTACATGGAGCCCTGGTGGCGCAGTGGTTAAGAGCTTGGCTGTTAACCAAAAGGCTGGCAGTTCGAATCCACCAGCTGCTCCTTGGAAACCCTATGGGGACATTCTACTCTGTCTTATAGGGTTGCTATGAGTCAGAATCAACTTGACAGCAATGGGTTTGGTTTTTGGTTTTACGGCCACATGTCTTTTAAGTGGGAGAGCCAAATTTTAAATTCCACATCAGTCCATCTTCAAAGTCACTTACAGAAATATTTGACAGTTTCCAGAATCCATCTTGTGCATGTTGAAATCGAGATAACTTTTTCCTATTATCTTCTGGTAACTTTTCTTTTCTATACATGTTTAAAAAATTATTTAATTTCAAATTTGGAGTGTATGTTATCCAGTCTTAGACATTTAGGTATATTTAAAATAATGAGATGCTCACTTGTTATCTCTTTTTCTAAGGACAGACCCAAATTTTAATGAATTCCTCACTATATTACAGTATGGCATATTTAGCTGATACACCCAATCAGTTTGAGTCACAACCTCAGCTGCCTACAGGGATCAGAAAGTAATCTAAATGTGGAAGCAGACTGAGTGTAAGGTAGTAAAGAGTGATGAAAATCACATTCCCTTCTGAAGGCACTCAATTATTTTTTAATATCACAATCCAAACAAAAACATATCTGGGGCTGAATCTGGCCAAATCTACTGGGGTTAAAATTCTGCAACCCTGTTTTGTTTGATATTCAAGACATACTCAACAAATTCAAATTCAATAACTATCTACCAAATGCCAAGTAGGCAGAAGGTACATATAAGACAATGCTTATTAAATGTTATTGTTGACATAGTAAATATATTTGTATAAAGTTGTCTCATTATACTTAGATGAAATTTCAGTAGAGTGGTTAGAACTATATACAAATTACAGATCAAAGCTACACCCTGACTTACTTCATGATATAAAAAACGAAAAGCAAACTTCCTTCAGGTAAAAAGAATATTTTATTACATTTACATTGAAATTACTATCATACATATCCAACAACTTTACATTTCATTGTCCGCATCTCAGGAGATATTCAAAGAGGTGAATTTGATGAAATTTTCTCAGCAAACCTAGAATACTTCATCTCCAGTAAATTACTTCTTATACATCATTTGGTAGTATTTATGAAATGAATTAGTGCAATACATCATTGAGGTATCCTTTAAAAGGCAAATACCCTATACATTTGGATTTGTCATCCCAATTCCTTGGCACTCAATAATGTAAGTGTCTTTAGTGGCATCTTCCTCATCTTCTGATTTCTTCACAGTAAATTTAGCCTGAAACCAGAAGGTAGTTAGCATATAAATAATATGAAGAGAGCTAAGGGAAAAGTCCTGTAACTCCTGCTTAAGTAGGCAGGTAGTTAACATCAAACCCATGTTGCTGAAGAAGCTACAGAGACACGAAGATCAAATGATTTACGAGAAATTCAACAGAGTAAAATAAAAGATTTTATTCTAGAACCATGTTTTTTTTTCCAGAGGTACATATACTTGTAGAGTTTATTCAAAATATATATGCCTGGGCCCCACTCCATATTCACTGAATCAGAATTTCCCAGAGTATAGCCTGGGAAATTATCAAATTTAAAGATTCAACTGTTGACTATAATGCATCTCCAATCTTTACCCCCTAAAAAAATGGAACTGATTTTTTTCTTGCCAATTTAATCCCCTAAATATACTATTCAGAAAGATCCCACTCAGAGAAGGATGGGACTGGGGGCTGATTAACACCTTCCTTCATCCTTATTGGCTTAACTCATTGAAGATTGGCTTTGAGATATTTGATCTCTATCAATGTATTCTGGGAACACAATTTTTTTTTTTTTTTAAACCAAATGTGTTCATTTTAACAAAACTGAATTAAAATCAAAACAACTGAATAGGTGACTGAGTTTGTGGCAAAGGGAATTTCAAGCATACATTCAGTTTCAGTATCATGTGGCAGTGTACTGACACACAGTAGTCGTTTAAAATTCTTACTGAATGACTAAACATTGACTTCAGAGCTAGATAGCCAAATTATTTATATAGTGTATGTGTATGTATAAAATTACAAGCATTATGTAAATATGAAACACAGATAACAGTTAGAGAAATCATTTCTATCCTATATATAAACCTACTTAAAACTAAAAAAATGTAGAATTGGAAGGAATCTTAAGGGACTATCTAGCTTGAGTCTCTGATTTTACAGATGAATTATCTGCAGTGAGGCACAGAAAGATGAAGCAGCTTACCCCCAATTACCCAGTTAATATGTAACAAAGCTGAACAAGAAACTAGAGCTCCTAAATCCCAGTTCAGAGCTTTCCACTATATAGTCACTTCAAATAACATGAGTGTCTACTAAATGCAAAGTACTGCAGAAAGTGAAGACTACAATGAATAAAACTTAGTACCTGCTATCAAGCAGATCACAGCCTGCAAGGGAGATAAACACGTAATATCTACAAATATAACATGGTAAGTAGAATAATAAAAAAATAAAGTGGCATTCACTATCTCCTGACCTCAAATACAATCTGCCTTCAATTTCCATCAGCCTTTTCCTACAATTTAAATGAAACCTTCTATGCTTTCTACTAACAAAACAAGATCAGCTATATTATTAAGAATCATGCAAACTATTGGAACTGGGGCAACAGTTGCTTTTTGCTCGATACATTTCTGTAATGCTTAATTTTTTTAAATAGTGTGCATTTAAAACAAGCTTAAGGTAAGCATCTTCCCTTATAAAATTTTGCATTATAAACTTCATATTATAAAATTACTTTATAAAGTTGCATTATGAAGACTAGCAAAATGGAAATATGCTTCATGTTACTGAAAAAGGCAAGAACGAGCTATATGCATTAACTGTAAAAAAGGCAAAGAGAAACAATTTCAAGAAAGGAGGAAAATATATAAATGTTAACAGTTGTTTTGCTGGTAAGGGGGATTTATGCATGGGTTTTTCCCTCTATTTTCCAAATTTTCTATAAAGAAATTACATTAGTTTTGTGTTGAACATATATATGTTAATCATTTTTTAAAAATTAAGAATCCTGTTGGAAAGGTATAAATATAAGCTCATACAGTGTTAAATCCTTTTTAACAAAAAATTTAAAATCTACTCTTCTAAATTTAAAAGGACTGATCGATGTTGGAATTTTAGTAAATATTCTGTGCATTCTACCAATAGAATCAGAAGAAAATAAAACATTTAAAATTTTATATAAATATTTAGGTTTATAGCCAACTATAAATCCCTTGGGATTTGATTTCACAGTTCCCATCAAAACATCTTTACTGACTCTGTAAGTCAGTTCTGTACAGTGACTACAGAGCACAGGCTTTGAAATGCACTTTCCTGGGTCTGCTCCAAGCCCAGCTCTGCCACTAAGGAACTATGTGGCCTTGAGCAATTTATCATCTGTATCCTTCAGTTTACTCATACGTAAAATGGGGATAATAGTAAATAGCCACCTATAATGATTATGCTGAGCAAGATAATTCAGGTAAACTGCTGAGTTTGCCTAGTGCCTGCCACGTAAGGAAGTGCTCAGTGATAGCAATTTTGATTACTATTACATTTTCTGATTATTCAAATTTGACCCAAAATTGGCTAACATAAAAATCAATTACACTTTCTGATGAAATACTTACTTTTGCTAGTTGTTCAGCAAAATGTATAGCCGTTTGCGTATGGAGTGTAACTGGTCCTGTTTTTATTCTGGAAACTCCATTGGCTAATGCCATGAAAATGATGAGCTATGGAAAAAAGAACAAAGAAGAAAAATTTCACATACTTATTAATATTTGAAGTTACAATCCTATTGCAGTCCATAATGAAAATACAACTAGAAAGCAAAACAGCTAAAAAATAATTTCTATTTCTTTAGGTTTCCAGAAGCCCCGAGATGACAGAAAATCCATGTTACTCAAAGTCTGCAGTGTGATACAGAAACACTTAGTAGCAGTTTTCAATATATATATTTTTAAAATAAGTATTTAAAGTAAAATATGGAGTTGAAAGTTAATGGATTTAATCAGCCAACAATCTCTGCAAGCTGGTGTATCTAAGATGTAAGCTTCTTCCATTCTCTAAAACTACATTTTAACAAGTACCAGTAAATGAAATGACTAATACAGAATTACTGGGAGTGTAGAGTTGACCTGGGCAAGAAGAAAGAGACTAGAAATAAAGAGAAACTGTCTTAAGAGACTGGTCAAGAAATCTTGAGGGGTACATTTCTAAATGCAGACTCTGCTGACTTGAGAGTAAGGAGAGAAAAATATGGTAGAAAGGAAAACCTATTAAGACAGTGGAACACAAAAAAGATCTTACTGTAAATATTCAATAGCAATTCTCAATGTGATTGGATAGTTCAGCCCGAGAGGTCTATGACACATCCACATGGAGACAGTGAGTAGGCGTGGGAGATATATAAGTATGGAGCTCAGGAGAAAGATCTGGGCTAGTGATATAGATTTGGGAGTTGTAAACATACATATGGTACTTAAGCTAAAGCTATGACACTGGACAAAAAACCAAGGGAGTGAAAAGAAAAAAGTATCAACTGTAAAGACAAAAAATTTGTAAAGTGTAAAGAAAACAGGTATGAGCCTGAGCCCATGGGCGCTCCAAAATTTAGAAATTGAGAAGATGGAAAAAAGAAAACCAAAAAAACAACAAAGGATATTAAGAACATGTGGACAGGGAGATAGGAAGATAACAGAGCTTCAGAAACCAAGTGAAGAAAGTGCTTTAAGTGTTTCAACTGTGGTGAATGCTGTACACAGGCCAAGTCAGATGAGGACTGAAATCTGAGGAATATTAATTCCAGAAAACTTTAAAAACTGATTGAACTAGAACTTGCTAATTAGTGTCTGAAAGTCAATGATTAAAATCGATATTCAATCTAATTACCAAACATTCAAATCTAATAAACTGGAGGGTATTTATCCGACATGTGCCATTACCTGATCTTGCAGATACTCATCCACAGCACCACCATGTCTAAGATTTGCTAATAGCATTTCAGCAGCTTCAATTCCAACCTTGTCGGCATTTACACCTAGGATGGGACCAATGTAAAGAAACCTAAATTAATTACTAAAGGACAAAAGTTTAATGAATACATCCCAGTTAGCATGGCTATAAAATTTCTAGGCCTCTGAACTCACCCAATGCACCCCTTTAGGATAAGATCTTCAGTTAATTTAATCTTCTGAGAGTGTGGCATATGCAAATACTTTAAATCTTTATACACAACAGTAAAGGAAAAAACCTGGCTGCTTTGGCCTTGTTTAAAAAGTAGTAATTATAAAGGCAGTTTACAACTAAGTTATGATGCTAAAATGGTATACTTCATTTCAAAATTTAAAACTTGTGATTTATACATGTTATAATTAGTCTTCAGGCAATACCATCAGAATTAAATGATTTAAAACAAAAACAAAAATGGGGAATTAACTAAATTTAATCTAAGAAAGAGCAGATAAAAATTCTCAGATCAAATATTTTAAAGTTTCTTCTTTTAAGATTTGAACAAGTATTGCCTTCTTTTGAATATAAGTCAGAATATATATCTCTATGCCCTACCTCCTACTTATCCACAGATACTTCTAATGTTTGGTAAAATGTTGAGTACAGAATAAGTCTATCAGAGGTAGTGGAATGTCAAATGATTCTTTTAAGCTATTTACTTTAGGCTAAAAGAAGTCCTTGGTGATAACTGAAAATGAATGTGGTTAATTTTACTTCTATCTGGTATTTGGAAATTCTCTTTATTATATGTATTGCCTTGAAAAAACTCCCCAGAAAAGTAGAAATTTCAAACTTTTAACTCTATTTTTCCTTACTGCAGTCATGACTGGTGTTGTTAGATGCTGTCAAGTCAGTTCTGACTCAAGTGACCACATGTACAACAGAACAAAACACTGCCCAGTCCTGCACCATCCTCACAATTGTTGCTATGTTTGAGCCCACTGTTGCAGCCATTGTGTCAATCCATCTCGTTGACAGTCTTCCTCTTTTTCACTGACCCTCTACTTTACCAGCAGTCATTATACTAAGATAATAAATTTGCTACCTTTCCAACATCAATCATTCAAGTATTTACATGACTGAAAGAAAAGCTGTGGAACATGTGGTATAAAACTTGGCTCCTTAGGTAAACTACTTAGCCTCTTTAGTTTCCATCCAGAAGATGGAGATAATGCCTATGTTGCAAAGTTGTTAGAGAAGTTACAGATAATTTTTATAAAGCCTCTATTACCAAAAGTGGTATATAATAAACCGTTAATAATAAGTGACTATGGAGCAAACCACTGTGTGTACCATGCGAAGAGATAGAAACTGGTTCATCTGCTACAAGAGGCATAAAAAAAAGTGCCATATATTAGAGAATTAGATGAAATTAAGTGCTAAGCTCTATAGTATAAACTACAGGAGGAGTTCAAAAAGGAAAAGATCCTAGGTTCTAGAATAATTTGAGAAGGTTTCATGGCACATGAAGGATTAAGCAAGGCCTTGAAGGATGGCTAAAATTTGGATGGAAGATGTAGAGGAGAAGGAAAAGAATTCTTGGCTTTGTACTACTAGAGAGGAGGAGACACACAAAGCTATTTCTACTAAGTGGCAAAGTATTTCCCAGAGCCAGGCACATTCCCTCCTACCCAGCCACCGTGACAGTGAATAATGGTATGACTAGATCTACATTATTACCAGCCACTACTAGCAGTCTGTGGCAGTTGAACAGAATGAAGTAAACATGAGAATTCTGCTTCTTAGTATTATGTTCTAAACAAAAGATCAAAATCCTAATGTCTTCTGAAATCTTACTGCTTTTCGAACTAACTGACAATAATCTTCTGATATTTTGGATGTTTCTAAAAAAAAAAAAAAAAAGGCCTCAATTTTAATGGTTTATAATGTAACAAATTAAAATGAATATTCAATGATTTGGGTGACTTCCAGCTTACTAAAAGGACAAAACAATAAAACGTTATCAGACTGAATACAGAGAAAGCCAAAGGCCTTATTTTAGGACATCAGAAACATGCCATGAATGGCCACATATACTGAAGGAGGGAAGGAGAGCACTTACTATAAACCTGGTACTTTCCCATACGTAGGAAAGAGGGGTTGATTAATCATAGGGATAATTCATCTTAGCAAATTGTTTTGCTCCCATTGTAAAGAGCACACCTGACTGAAAGACAAGTATAATCAAAGAATACTCAAATACTGAACAATGTAAAGACAAAATACATTCTGTCTACATTGCAACCACATAAAGTTGGAAGGATTCTTACAAGTAGATCATGGTCTAATCTCATTTTTCAGACAAGGAAAACCCAGAGTCACCGTGCAGGAGAGCAGCTCCACCCAGCTGTACCTAGGACTCAAACTCAGGTCCTCCCACTCTCAGTTTCGTCCGCTATCATGGTATGCTGCCTCCATCTAAAAGGCAAGATTCTCTTAGACAAAATAAAAACAACTTCTTTCTTACAGGACCAAAGAATGTTATAGCTGGAAGGATTTCAGTGATTTTCCAAGCTAATCCTCTCACTCCAACAGATAAGGAAACAAAAATCGTAATAGTTTTAGTAACTGAGACAACAACAAAAACATGACTAGTTACATCTTATTGTTTCTACCACATACGGTAGCACTGACAATCAGTCAATGCTGCTTCTGGTAATACCTCTTAGGCATTAGTATTCAGGGTCTGGTGATTTTCTAGTTAATTCAAATTACAAATGAAAGTGGATCTGTATAATTGGGGCCATGAAATTTTCTCTGAGATTCTTATTATACAGACTACATAGATTAAGAGAGAAGACCCAGGTTGCCTTTGCATTTGCTAATGCCATCTCATTTGACAGATGTGCCTTTCTTAGGAAACGGGGGAGGGCATCAGCAGGAGTCAGTCAATCTGAATGATTATGTTGCTCTATTCTCTATTCTCTCCTACCACTATATGTCTAAAAACAAATACAAGTGTGTCCAAACAAAACTTCAAAATAAAAGCTGTCTCATATGACAAAATGAGAAAAAAAATGTTGACAGGATGTCAGAAAAGAAGTATTTTCAGGGTTGGTCAACAAAGTTAATTCCATGCATTGCTGATAACAGAGTAACGGTCCCTTTACAATGTCAATGCAATATGCCCCAAATTATCATCTAACCTGGCAAACTTAACTCTACCTTTTATAGTCACAAGTTGTAAACAGTATTACCATTTACATAGTCACCCAAGCTAGAAATCTAGAAGTTCATTCTTGACACTGCCTCTCTCACTTCCCATAACCAACTGGCCACTAAATTGTCTACTGACCCTCCTAAACACCCTTAAGTCAGTACTCATTTTTCTAGCCCTAGTCACTGCATTTCTTGGTGTAGGCACTCACCTGTCTTCTTGCCTCCAGTATGGCTTTCTGCTAATCCTCTTCATGGCTATCAAAATTACCTTTCCAAAGATCTGACATTACTCCCTAAAGTCCTTTATACTCAGTGTTTTCAGGATGAAATCCAAACCCTTCTGTATGTCATATAAAGCTTCAAAATCTGGCCTCTGCCTTCTTCTCTAACCTCATCTCTCTCCACTCCCCCCCACAGACCCTACACTCATCAACACAGAACACTCTTTTATGCCCAATACTTTCCTTTGTCCTTCCTCCTTAGTTCTCATTTTTCTATTTGGCTTTCTTCTTCACAGAACCCATTTAAAGATCACTGAATAGTAGGGGCCAGATTTGAGGCCAATCAGCCCCCAAAGCAGGGTTACCTGCTCTTCCTTTGTTCCTATGGCACCTTGGGGATATCATTATCACAGCACTCGTCTGTCTCCTCTGCCAGACTAAGCCAGGAAGCAGGAAAGGCATCTTTACTTCTGAATCCCTACTACACAGTACCTGCCACATTGTGGTACTCAAGGAAAACACAAACAAACCGATCTCACATTCTTCCAAATACCTGCCAAATTCTTATTACTTGCAACATGTTTATTCCTATTCTTTAATTTGTATTTGGATTATCTTTGCCTTCTCAGGACTGTTGTATATACTGTGTGCAGTGGTTAAGTCTTCCCTCATTCCTCACTGCATCTAACTAACATCTAATTAGTATATGCTAAATATATATTTTACATCACAACTTCTCAAACTTCAGTGTGTCTAAGTACCGGGAAAACTTATTAAAACATAGATTCCTGGATCCCATTACCAGAGATTCTAATCTGACAGGTCTGGGATGGAATCCAAGAATTTTTATTTCTTACAGACTCCAAGATGTTACTGATATGCTGCCTGTCTGCCAACCACACTTTGAACAGCACAGTTTTGGGTAGAATTCATTTATGTCAGATCAGTTGGAAATACTGACTTTATTTATTCTGTTACATTGATTGGATATGATGTCCAACTAATATTATAGATCTACCAACTGAGCAGATTTAGATTTCTTGATTTTTTAAACTCAGTAGTGATAATGTGGTTAAACAACATAGCTAGGATAAGTATCTTTTAAACACACTACAAAGTAGGAATAAAGCCATCTACTGCCACACAAACAAACTAGAAGTTTAAGAAAGAAACTGGCTGATGAAAGTAAATATTAACAAACAGATGCATATAGGTATCTCCTCTCCCTAATATACCAAATCTTACCAAAACAAACTAACTTCTCTTTCACAAAAATAAACTAGTCAATATTTTGAAATCACCAGTATAATAACTGGTACAAGGAAGAATCATCAATAGATGCCAAAACCATTGGGTGAAAAGTTGTACGGGAACAGGATATTCACATGGTCTCAAAGTATTATCCTGCAACCTTATTACTTTTCAGCAGACAATCTGGAGGATACCACCTTAACAAAGTGACCACACTCACCATCACCAATAAAGGACAAACCGACATTATGTGCTCCTAATGGGATGCAATGGAGGCTGGGTGACACGGTGGTTAAACGCTCAGCTGCTAACCAAAAGGTCGGCAGTTCAAACCCACCAGTCAGCTCCTTGGAAACCCTATGGGGCAGTTCTACTCTGTCATACAGGGTTGCTATGAGTCAGAATAGACTGGAAGGCAACGAGTTTGGTTTGGTTTGGAATGGGATGAAAAGAAATGTACACAAAATCTCCTATGCAATATTCTTACTAAAAATGTTTGACCTGAATATATCTAATTATGAGACAAACAGAAATATCCAAATTGTGGCAAATTCTATAAGAAAACGGGCCTGGATTCTTCCTAAGTCAATGTCATGAAAGGGGAAAAAAAAAAGGTGAAGGGACAATTCTGTATTAAAGGAGACTGAACAGATAGGTCAGCCAAATGCAGTGTTTGCTCCTTAGTGGATCCTTGATCCATAGACCTATATATACATATATATATTCTTTCAACTTTTATATAAATTGGAAGTTTTTCAAAGTATAAAGCTGAGAGAATGACTGAAACTTTAACTGCTTCTAAAACAGAATCACTTTACTGTATGCTTTTAATTTTCCATCATTCTATAAAATTCTAATCCTAACATATATATGTCGTTGATTGCTGTCGAGTTGATTCTGACTCATGACAACTCCACGTGTACAGAGTAGAACTGCTCCACAGGGTTTTCAAGTCTGACCTTTCAGAAGCAGATTGCCAGGCTGTCTTCCGAGATGCCTCTGGGTGGGTTCAAACTGCTTACCTTGTGGCTTAGTAGTCCAACCATTTATGCCACCAAGGGACTTTATATATATACATATATATAATATGTATGTATGTGTGTATATACTTGTATATAAGTATCTATACGTGTGTGTCTATAAACACACATATCCCATATTGCTCTAGAGAATATTTCGGAGACAACAGGGTATGTCAGGTGTCTGGTATGTCTGAATATAACAGATAAATTCTTCGGGTATAAAAACACTATTGTGATTATCTAGGTATTGTTCTTTGGAGATACATGCTCAAGTATTTAGGGGTGAGGCATGTTAAGTGCAACTTACATTGAAATGGTTCAGAAACACACATGTATCTAAATGCTCACTACTAGTGAATCTAGGAGAAGAGTATATAGATATTGGCCATAATATTCTTTTAGCTTTTCTATAGATTTGAAGTTTTTCAAAGTACAAAGCTGAGAAAACAATTCAAAGTTTAACTGCTTCTAAAACAGAATCACTTTACTGTATCCTTTTCACTTGCAATCATTCTATAAAATTCTAATCCTGACAGATAATTAAAAAATTTTACAGTGGCATTCGTCACCGCAGATCCCCTTCAGTTATCTATACCTCGTTTACCAAGTGATGATCCAGCAAACAAACAGCCAGTCGATGTCTCAGCAATAATGCTATACGGAGAAACAAAAAAATATTACAATCTATGCCATCAATATATTCTAAAAATTACAGGCAAAGATGAAACAGGAGAACAGTGACTGCTAAACAGGCAGAATTAGATCTGCCTAGTATGTAGCAAAAGTAAAATTCTTTATACGGAGAATGGTATGATTAACATTCTCCTTCAGCCTTAATCATGACAACAGTACCCTCTGGCACTACTGACAAGGAGAAGTCACATTAGATTCTAATGCGCTCACAGGTAAGAATGGTCCCCAGGTCATCAGCATTAAGTGGCGTCATTTCACAGGCATACAGTACTGAAAAGACCTTAAATGACAAGGCCTTTATGCAGAGACTGCTTTAAATCCTTTAATAGAGACTTCTCAATAAAAAGCTTTAAAATTTAAATATCCACAAAGGATACTTTTTACTTCAAAAACAACAATTTAAGAATTTTTATAACACTTAGATCAGTAATTCCTAATTGAATGAATATAAGAGTTATACTCTCATTTCTAAATAGATACTTGCCATATTTAATATTTATTTGTGAACTGATTTTCATTCTGAGGTACATGAAAGGTACTGGAGATAGTTCCTTTAGGATCAGCTTCAAAGTCTAACTTCTGATTAGCTTAAGTATTTAAGTTTAGTATATAAACCAAAAGGTCCTTACAATGCATTAATAGTCAAAGTACCCTCAGAAAAAATTAAGAATAAGATAATCATCTTAATTCATCATATTGTTGTTTTAGGCAGGAATGCCCTTTAAAAATGCGTCGTCTTAAAGCTAGAAATCTTAAAAAAAAACAAAAACCACCACAAATCTTTTAATGTAAACAGAATTATTTCAGAGCTCTGAACCAGCGTCTAGGAAAACGTTAGTATATTATCTCACATTATCCCATTTCCATTGCCAAAGGCTTGGTCCTTAGATTCCTGAACCGGCTGGATGTTAACATACAGATCCCTGATCTCCTTTCTGATGCACCTCACTGCTGCCGCTGCCATATCTTTTGCTACCTATTTTGGCAAGATTGAAAACAGAGTAAAATAAATTAATAACTGCTTACTTTGACAATTATTTTCAAAGATGCATAAGATAACATTATATACATTATTTAAAAACTGGAATTTCAAGAGCAGAGAGAATATTGATTTTCAAGAAAACTTAGGAAAAAATTTATTAAAAAATAAGTTTTCTCAATAATTTTAAAATATAGATGACATAATGTTTATCAAGACATAGAACATGTAGACAACTTACTTTAAATGGCAAAACACCAGCAACAAAAGATCTTCCATATATCTTAGTCACAGAGCCACGGTCAGTTAAACTTATTGGGTTCAATTGTTTAACTGGTGACATTCGAATAATCACTTCACCGCCCCCTTTTGGGTAGTAGCCCCTATAAAAATATGGCAAATACTCATGTAAATTAATTGCATGACAAAAACAAAGCTCAATATTTACAAAAAAAAAAAAACAACATACAAATGATATCCAAACATAAAATATTTTAAAAGAACTGTACTGTCTAATATGGTAGCCTCAAGATACATGACTATTTAATTAAAATTCAATAAAATTTAAAGTTCACAATTTTAAATTGCACAAGCCACACTTCAAGAGCTCAAAAGCCACATGTGGCTAGTGACTACCAGTGCTGGAGAGCACAGATATGGAACCTATTTTCATCTCAGAACACACTATTTAACAGCACTGTTTTGTAACACACATTCCATGACAGCATGAACGTCGTATATTTTGTTCCCAGCTACATTCTCAGGGCCAAAAACAATGGCTGGCACAGAGCAGGTACTCAGTAAACACCTGAAAGATATTTAAGTAACAGAACACAAACAAAACTTTAACTGAAATATTTAGTGGCATTTATTCTACAAAAGATGGTGGGAGCACAAAGATGTCTGACAGTGCTCCTATCCCCAATTAGCTCACCATCTAATAAGGAGATGGCTCAACATACCATCTCCTAGAATAGAAGTCAGGCTGTTAAGAAGGACTACAACAGAGGCACAAATAGGAATTCTGACTGAAGCATGTTCATGGACAGTTCCACACGAGAAATCAGAGTTTCATTTTTAAAAAATATGGTAGGATTTACAATTTTTAGGGGAACAGCAAGAAATAACATGAACAAAGACTTGAAAGTCTGAGGCACAAAGTAAGTTTAAGGAGCAGTAAGCAATTATGTTGTTACAATATACGGTATGTTGAAAGGAGGAGAGAGAGAATGAAGCCAGAAAGATAACCTGGGGCAAGACTGCAAGGCATTTAAATGTCATGTGCCAAGAAATATGGCCTTGTCTCTTTAAGGGAAGGCTTAAAGAGAAATCATCTGAATGTTCAATGTGTTTCTTGGGGAAATAATTCTGACAGCATTATGGAAGAGCAGAAGAAAAAGAGACTTCTTTTTTATGACCCCAGAGTACCTAGTCCAGTTATCTGCATATAGTGAGCATTCACCTGTGCTGCGGCACCCATTACACCAGATACAAAGGAGCCTCAGTGTGGAAAGTCCCTTGAGAAATATTTCTCCCAAGAAACAAATAAATAACATGTCTAGTTGCTTTCAGGTCCCCATGCCCCTGCTGCTTATTATTTTTAAACCACAAAGTACAATTATTTTCTACCAGAAATGTAATGTATGAAGTGAATTCCAGAATGACAGTTTTCTAAGGTCTAACTTTTCCACTACTTTCAATATAAGCAATGGATCAAAAGGGCTAAGAAATAAGCAACTTACCTCATTTTAATGTCACAATTAAATGTGAAACCAAATTTTTCAACAATTGGCTTGAACACCTGAAAAATCAGTTTACAGTTCTTTTAACCACCAATGTTCAACAATAAGTACACTTATAACTAATGTATTTATTAAGCAAAAGTGCCCTGCACTGAGCTAGGCATTAGGCACTACTGATAAACAGTAATGTAAAAAATTTCTAGGCTAGCTGCATTTTTCAAATGAAATAAATGATATATAGCGAAAATTAAAAGCGTAACATCTAATTATCAAAGCTACACAAGTCTGTCTAATAAAATATATATATATACACACACATATATCTCAGAACTTATGATTCTTGATCTCTGTGGTTATTTTACTCCAGAGGCCAATATTTCCTACCCTTTTCAATATAACATTCTAAGAAATTAAAGGATGTTAGTGAAAAGCATTCTCGCCTTCTCAACTTTTTTAAACAGTTGAAATCTCACTGCATATACATGTTTTATCCTTACTTTTTCCATTTAACATTATAAACATAAGCATTTTCCCAACATCCTAAAATTCTTCCTAAACAATACTTGAGTTACTACATGACATGCTATCATAATTTACTTAGCCATTGCCCAAGCTTCCATTATTATACAATGTTCTGTTCAAATACTTTTGACGTTTAACTTTGCTGCATTTTGTAAGACTTTAAGTCTCATGTACATTCTGTTAAACTTAAAGAGAGACTGACTTTAAGTCTCATTATACATTCTGTTAAACTAACTTTAATGAGATTATACCACTTACTAGAATAGCAAAAAAATTAAAATCTAAAATATCAAGTGTTGGGGAGGATGCAGACCAGCTGGAACTCTCATACACTGATGGTGAAAATACAAAATGATACAGTCACTTTGGAAAACAGTTTGGTAGTTTCTCATAAAGTCAGACATACACTCAGTATAACAACCTGGTAATACTACTCCTAGGTATTTACCGAAGAGAAATGAAAACTTATGTTCACACAAAAACCTATACGTAAATGTTATAGTGACTTTATTCATAATTACCCCAAACTAAAAACAACCCAAATGTTCTTCAACAGATGACTGGATAAACACACTGGTATATATATGCAATAGAACACTACTCAGTGATAAAAAGGAATGAACTTTAGACATACGCAACGTGGATACACCACAAATGCATTATGGTAAGTGAAAGAAACCAGACTCAAAAGGCTACATATAGTATTACTCCATTTAAATGACATTCTGGAAAAAAAGGTAAAACTATGACAGAAAACAGATCAGTGGATGCCAGGGGCTAGGGGCAGAACTGACTACAAAGGAGCATGGGGGAACTTTTTGGAGCAATGGAACTGTTCTATAATGACTGGTGGTGGTTTCAGGACTGTTCCTGTTTGTTAAAACTCATAAAACTGTACACTAAAAAGGATGAATCTTACTATAAATAATTACACCTCAATAAAACTGGAGAAAAAAATGATTATGCCACTTTTCCCTTCCACTAGTTGTATCTGAGCATACCAACATTGAGTTTTATCATTTTTCAAATCTATAGGCAAAACATAGTATCTGATTCTTCTTTTGAGGGTTTTTTCCCCTACAATGTATATAATGACTACTATTAAGATTTTTAACAATGTTTTAAGATAAAACACAAAATCTAAAGTAAACATAATCCCTACCCTCTACTGCAACAGAACTGGACACAACAAAGAAATAAGCAGGAATATACAAAAAAAATAAAATAAAATAACAGAACATAGTTAAATAGAGAATGGAGACGCAGAAGAATATATGACATAATCTTAGTTGGTCAACAGCAAAAAACGTCCTTACCATCACTGTGTAATCGATCTGTGGTGCCATCTCAGCATTAGTTCCACCTTTTAAACGAAGTTCTGATGGAGAAGCAGCAAAGAGAACACAGGGCATTGAGACCTGCATCAAGAGGCATACACTCCTAAGGAGAAGGCAGAACAGGTTTAGCACATTTTCTTTTTAAAGTCTGGTCTCAGGTTAATAAAGGAAGCTATAGCACTACACATAACCATCAGCTGAAGCATAGAAAACTGAGAAAGCAGGTTCATGCCTTTAAGTTTAAAGACACTTCAGTATCTGAATAATAAAATCCTGAATCTTAAAGAAATGCAGTATTGCACAGTATAAAGAACCAGCTATAAATGATAAGCAAACCTAGGTCTAAATCCCAGCCTAAACACTTCTTAGCTGTATGACCTTGGGTAGCTTCTGATGCTTCATATTACAAAGAAGTAAAAAATCAATTAATTACTTAAAAATCACACCTCTTCACAGTGTTTTTATAAAAAGATTCTTGAAAGTAGCAGTTTATGAAATGTATTCAAAACAGTCCAGGTCAAGAAATATTCAGTTGATTATATATGAGTCTCTATCAGGTACATGGCCTTGTTCTAGATATCAAGTTAAATAAGATATAGTTCCTAGCATTATGGAGTACATGATAAAATAGAAGACAACATTTTAAATAAGATTTTATAAGAATTGATACTTGAACATTTCACATGAAAAAAGGCTTGCTTTACTAGCTTGTTTGGGCCTTATAATCAAATAATGTGAAACATCATGAGAAAGAGTGAAGAACATGAAGTATCTTTAAAAATGAGAATATTTGGCCAGATTTTCTAAATATGCTGTTATCTCCCCTTCTCCAAAGTCAAGGGAAAGCAATCATATTCATAAATAGACTGTAGTTTGAAATAAGCCTGAAATTAGTTGACATAAATCTCTACATACTGAAAAGTGGACCTTTACATAACTTCTCTATGACAGTGATGCCCAAGTACTGAATTGGGAAGTCTCTATCACTGATAAAGAACTTCATTAATTCAGTAAGTACTTACTCACTGTGCAATGTGTTAGGCATGGTAAGAGACAAATGTATGAGATATAATTCCTGTTCTCAAGGAGTTCAGCGTACGAGCAAATGAAAGAGACTTGGAAATGTTCAATTTACTATAATATCATAGGTTTTAACTATTGTACTCTCATTGTTTATTCCCTCCTAATATTTAAAGGGTTCCTTTAAACAACTCTAAAGCACTGATTTAAAAGATTTTCCTTCCGAAAAACCTACATTCTAAGAATAGTAAAGAAAATCTTAATTTTAGGAAAGTAAGGAATTGCAAAGATAAAGGAAATTCTTTTGAGAAAACACATGGTACGGTAATAAGTAGAGATAACAATGTTAGAATGTTAATAAATAAGATGTTTTCTTCCTAGGATTCTATTTGTTTTAATCTCCTGAATAGAGTTGGATTATCAATTTAAAACTCATTTCCCATACACTCTAGTGGATTAAGAGTCAGGAGGCCTGAATTCTAATTCTGACTCTATGACTGGGTAAATCACTTAACTCCATGGGGACGTGATTTCCTTGTCACAAAATGGGAGCAGGGTTGGAATATATATGGCTTCCATTTTCCCTTCTGTGGAGTCCTGATGGCCCAGTGGTTAAAGCATTCGAGTGCTAATCAAAAGCTCAGCGGTTCAAATCCACCAGACACTCCTTAGAAATGCTATGGGGCAGCTCTACTCTGTCCTATGGGGTCGCTATGAATCGCAACTCGACAGCAACGGGTTTTACTTTCCTTTTTGCAGCTCCAAAATTCTAAGATTCTGCTTTAATTAATTTCTAGACAGTTTGCTATCTATAACTTTTTCCATTTTGCACAGGAGAATGCTCTAAATAATACCGACTATAAAGATACCTCAAAATTCTTTAATTCCTGTAGGAAAGTTCTCCCTTGGCCTAGGAGCACGTCCCACTTCTTAGAAGTCTATTTACATCATAATGCAAATCTCAATTATCACTCAACATTTTCTTAAACTAAAAAAATCCTAATTCATTAAAACAGTCATTTCTGAAACAAACTGGCACCAAGCTTACAGTATCATTTCTTATTTTATCAAATTTCCTAGTAAATAGATAGGATTTTGGAAAAGGATGCTATTTAAAATAGCAAGCAGCCAAATGCCATAGTAAAGCAATACAAAAATTTTGTTAATAAATGGAGGGAAACTTGAAAATGATACAGGTCCAATTTAATTGTTAAGTATCATTTCCCAATGGGAAAAAAGATTAGGATCATATCTAAAAATTTCTCAGTAGGGTTGCATAAACCAAAAAAGCCACTGCAGTTGAGTCACTTCTGATTCATAGCAACCCTATAGGACAGAGAAGCACTGCCTCATAGGGTTTCCAAGGCTGTAATCTTTTACGGAAGCTGACTGCCACATCTTTCTCCCGAGGAACTGCCAAGCGCTTCACCACTGCACCACTAGGGCTCCTTAGGCTTGCATAAGTACTTATTAAAAGACAGTAAAAATAAGTAGAAGATGGTTCATAGTTAGCTATAACCTAAGAACTAAATTTGCTACTACATAAAAACTGCTGTAACTACTCCATATGAAAACTTAGTTTCAGACATTGTGTTTTTAAATATTACAATATGTAAAGAAATCAATATACTATACACCACATTACACATTTGAGAAAATTCCAGATATAGTAATTAATGAGCACTTAGGTCCCCAAAACTTTACATTATCTCCAAACCTGAAAGGTAAGCATTTTATCTCAGTTTTAAGAGTAGAAAATGAGGCACAAGTAAGTGGCAGAATCTGGATTTGAACCCAGGTCCAACTCCAAAGGCCATACTTAAATGGAATGTGACACATACCCTGCTGTCTTGGTATCTGCTGTGTGGATTCCACCTCTGATCTTCTCTGGTGTAAAGGTTATCTCTGTTGAGCCAATTTCTGCCCCCTCCAGTTGCCCGTCACACAAATCTCGGATCATTTCCAGTCCAGATAAATGTTGAGGCCTTCAGGTCATAATACTGCATCAAAACGTGTGCATTCAACTGCCTATATCCCCACATTTTATGGTACATTTATAAAACTGCAATGGCAAGAAAAAAGCAATGTCTAACCTCCCACAGGACGCACCACATCTTCAGTTTAAGAGCTTCCTTTTGTGTTTTTATGCACCTAGACTACCTGCTAGTAGGCATTATTTTAAGGATTCTTTCATTCCAGACCAGTTATTTTAGCTATTAGAAGTGGGTGAAAGAAGAAAACTATTAAAACTACCCTAAGAGTCACTAGCCTCACTTGCACTTCACCGAATAATCGATGGTACCTAAAACAGCCTTAATGAACTGGATTTTCCGACTGGAGAATTGGATTGTTAATGTGTGCACTTATCAATAGCTCCTTGTGGGTTAAAAAAAAAAGACTAGGGGTAGCTGGTCTGTTAAAATGCAACGTATAGACAGAATAAGAAGGAATCAGATTGGCTTCGACCCAGGTTATCTGTTAATAGGCGCATATACGTGAAGTTTATTTAATGGCACACCCAGGTTCCCAGGCAGACGCAAAATGAAGGGCAAGTGTCAAGGTGTTTCCCTCTCCACAACAGATAATTCTGATCTTATTGACAGCTAACTGGAGGTCTGAATGAAGAAATTACTTATCTTAATGTCCTTTCCTATTCTATGATTCCAAAATGAGCACACCAGGGGATGCACTGGTTAGAAAATGGATTTTCCTGTGCCATACAGATAGTTCTGTCCTGATGTGTCTTCCTCGCTGATCAGTGCTTTCCGGGTACGTGGAATGCCCGATTAGACGGAGAAACATATTAAAAGGTAACTCTTTAGGCAAACGAGACCACTTGAGCCAAGTAGGGAAAGCTCGGGCTTATTTCTAAACTCAGCCTTTAATGCTTTCAAAAAAGCACAACCCAGGCCACCGCTAACCGCCCAGGTAGAACGTCCCGGGGCTAGAAAAATAGGCTCGAGGGCCGAGCCCCTCCAAGCCTGAGGCCGAGTCCCTGATCCTCCAGCCCCCGGCTGAGTCCCCGATTCCCCAGCCCTGGGGCCCGGCCGCCCAATCTACCTCAGGCCGGGCGTGCTGCGGCCAGCTCTGATCTTCTGCACTCGCAAGGGGAGGCCCAGGAGACAGCTCAAGGCGGTAGAGACCCTCAGGATCTGGCCGCCCTGCAAAGGGTAGGGGCGGGAGAAATAAGAACAGCAAAAGTCAAAGCTCTCCTCCCCAGCCTGGGCTTCAACCCGCTTTGCTTCGAGCTCGGCACTCACCCCTTCCATGATCCCGCCGTCGACCTCCACCCGCTGCCCCGCCATGAGGGGCACCCCGTGGTCCGATCCGCTACGACAAAGCCCCCGCCAGAGCAGGAAGAAGAAGAGACGCTGGCTCCCACTCAGCAGCTCTGAAGCCTCGGTCCTCGCACAGGGCCGCTGAGACCCTGCGGAAAGGCAGAGTAAGCGGCCGACCCTGGTGGAATCGGCTGTACCCCAAAGAGGCCGAATCTCAGCGCCTTGAACCTGCCTGCACACCGTCCAGCAGCCAGTGCACATGCGCGCGGTGCGGCGCTGCGTTCTGCCGCTTAAAGAGCCCTCTCTGGGAAAATTCCGTCCCCGTCTCGTTAGAGGTTGCGGAGTTTCGGTGGCGGCAGGGGAGACGCCCTGCAGCACAGTAGGAAATGTGGCCCTCGCGACTTGTGTGCTGAACACAGCAAAACCCACAGGCTGAAAATCTCCTTTTTCTAACCAGATGCTCCAGTTATCCCGCGTGATTGTGCAAATATCTATGTTTATCTCTGTTTTCATGAGATAAACGGTACTTAGAGCTGGAGATTATTAAGAGGTGAGAATGTTAAGAAAGGTCCGGCATCTAAGTCAATTGGCATAACAAAGCTTATTAAGAAAATGTTCTGCATCCTACTTTGGTGAGTGGCATCTGGGGTCTTAAAAGCTTGCTAGAGGCCATCTAAGATGCATCAGTTGGTCCCAACCACTTGGAATAAAGGAGAACGAACACCAAAGACACAAGGAAAGTATTAGCCCAAGACACAGAATGGGCCACATAAACCAGAGACTTCATCAGCCTGAGGCCAGAAGAACTAGATGGTGCCTGGCTACCACCAATGAATGTCCTGACAGGGAACACAACAGAGGGTCCCTGATGGAGCAGTAGAAGGATGGGATGCAGAACTCAAATTCTAGTAAGAAGACCAGACTTAATGGTCTGACTGAGACTGAGGTGTCCCGGAAAGCATGGCCCCTGGACTACCTATCAGCCCAGAACCAAAACAATTTCTGAGGCCCACTCTTCAGACAGGGATTGGACTGACTGTGGGATATAAAGTGATACTCGTGAAGAGTGTGCCTCTTAGTCAAGTAGATACAAGAGACCAAAGGGGCAGCTTCTGTCCAGAGGTGAGATGGGAAGGCAGAGAGAGTTAGGAGCTGGTTGACTGTTCATGGGGAATCGGGTGGAAAGGAGGAGTGTGCTGTTGCAGAATGGGTTGAGCAATTAGGGTCTCGTAACTATGTATAAAAATTTTGTATGGGAGACTCACTTGAAATGTAAGCTTCATTTAATTACAACAGTAAAAAAAATAAATAAAATTAGCAATGAGGCAAAAAATAAAAATAAAATTTTAATTAAAAAAAAGGTCTGGACTCCAGCAACACACCAACTACCTTCTCTCTGGTTGGATCTGCCTTGCCTGCAGAGCCTGTGCCTCTTGATGTGCCCTGCTGCCAATGGAGCCTCTGGTTCCGTGTGTGTATAGAATATCTCTTTTTCTCTCATGAGGCACTGTTTATTCAGGATGGGTGAGACAAGGCTGAATCGACAATACAGGTAGTACCAGACTTATGACGTATTTGAGTTCCCACGAACCACACTTAAAACTGTCAGCTTGTTTGTCTGTGTAGCAGATAAATTTCTAGTAAAACTTTTGACCAGAGTAAAATGTCTAAAAGCTAAAATCCTTTGCCGCTATTGCTTTTAACAGTAGAATCAGTTTAAAGCTTTTCTTTGCAGAGGCCTGTCTTTAGGCCCATTATTTACTCAGCTGCATCAACGAGCATTAGATCAGAATTTGGAGCCCTGGTGGTACAGTGCTTAAGAGCTACAGCTGCTAACCAAAAGGTCAGTAGTTTGAATCTACCAGCTGCTCCTTGGAAACCCTATGGGCCAGTTTTACTCTGCTGTGATCACTATGAGTTGGAATGGTCTTGCTGTTGAGCTCCCTGAGTTAGCTACCATGGGACTCAAGGAAAAATCAAATTTACCTTTTCTCCATAATCAAGTCAGGAAAAAGAATATAATACACCAAAAGAGAAGCTCTTGAAGTTCTGAAATTCAGTTTTCGCTAGATTAAGCTGATCCTCTGGAACACATTAACTGCCTAGCTGTTTTTCAGTAGAAACAGTTCAGACTTCTTGACAAATGCCTGCCATTTCTCCCCTTATTCATTATTAACTGAGGAAGCTTTCTATCTCTGCTGAAAAGTCAGAATGTAAAGGAAATATACTCTTAACGATAAGGAATCTTTACACAGGTGTCTTTTGTTTAAAGTGGGCCAAGAGATAATAAAGTTTATTAAGAAAATGTTCTGCATCCCACTTTGGTGAGTGGCATCTGGGGTCTTAAAAGCTAGTGAGCAGCCATCTAAGATGCATCAGTTGGTCCCAACCCACCTGGAGCAAAGGAGAATGAATAACACCAAAGACACAAGGAAAGTGTTAGCCCAAGAGACAGAAAGGGCCACATAAACCAGAGACTTATTCAGACTGAGAACAGAAGAACTAGATGGTGCCTGGCTACCAACAATGACCGCCCTGACAGGGAACACAATGGAGAGTCCCTGGGAGCAGCAGAACAGTGGGGTGCAGAACTCCAATTCTAGTAAAAAGACCAGACTTAATGGTTTGACT